CCTAATGTAGAGAGAGGGGGGTGGGCATGGACAGCGACGAGAGAGATAGAGAGAGGGGGAGGCCATGTGCCATGGCATTCGCATCACACTCAACGTAATCATTAGCGACACCACCGACATGACGAGGTCGGGATAAAGCTGTGGAGAGTATGTGCTGCAGGGAGGTGGATGCACAACGCACCCAGGAACGAACGCTAGCTCCGGTCCTTTTCCCGTGAGGGAAACTGTGGACTCAATGTCCTGACAGGCTGGTATTTGTGCAACCTGCACAAACACAATACTGCACCATGATTACAAATGGTGAAATACAATGTAAAACTACCGAAAAATACCAGCTCACTAAAACACAACCGCTCAACTCAACGCAACTACTAACTATACCCGCGGTCAGAGAGCAGAGATGTTTACTCTTTGTGATGTAATATGACGCGTTTGACTTATGACCTTAAAAAAAAGCCGTTTTTAAGAGCAGAGCTCAAAATTGCTCCTTTCCCTCTGAATTCCTGCCCTTATGTCTCGTAAAACATATCAAATCCTACATTCACTTTTTTAATTGTAATTTTCAAGCAAGTTTAAGCATAAATGTAGGAAAAAAAAAAACCTGCATGATGCTCTTCAAAGCTCCCACACTCAGGACAGCAGGCCTGAGTGGTAATGCATGGCTGATGAGAGCCGGGCTAATGGGCAGCTCTGTTAGCTGGAAATCAAATGACTGCCTCTGCATTTTAAGTCCCTCTGTCGCCTCCATTGACTGACTGAAGATATTTATCTCCCCCTTGTCAAGGGGTGGGGGGGGGAGAGGAGGTGGGTTCAATTAAAGCGAGGAAGAAAAAGAGAGGGGGGTGAGGGGAAGAAGCGGAGGGCATCTTATAAAAACCTGTAGCTCTAATGCAATTATTAGAAACTTGACCACCAATGACAACTCATCTGGGGCTGGCGCTGTAATTAATTGTCTGCTAGCAGGAGCGCAGGGGTTTTGGAGGGTGATGGGTGGGGTGAGGTAGGGAGAGGGGAGAGGCAGGCGGGTGATTGGTAGAGGGCAAAATGACAGGTGAGGAGAGACACAGAAGGAGATGAGGAAAGATGAGGCAACAGCTTAAAGATCTTCTTTAGCGTGCAAGAGACAGAAAAGGGTTTGGACACAGTGAAGCAGAACATGTAGTGAGTGATAGAATGAGAGGAAAAAGTATGCGATTAAAGACGAGGATTAAATAAGGAGAGGGAAGGGAGAAAAAAAAGAGCTGGAATGAGAAAGCAGGAAAGTGCAGACAGTGTGATGGATCCAGTGACCATGTTAAATTGGTTATATTGACCTTGCCAGAGCTCAGTTTAACACTCACACTTGTTTGTCTAGTTTTACTTAATTGACCTCAGATAACTAATTACCATTTCCTGGAACAACAGTACATTACTCTCTCTCTCTGCCTCCGACCCCCCTCTCCCACTTGCCATTCTTTGTCAGGCTCTCTGTCTTTCCGGCTTTTGGCTACTTGAAGGGAAAGAGAGATAGACTGCACACAAAGTACTGGAAATTCCCTAATAATGATGGGATGCAACGTTCCTACCTTTAAAGATGTTTGTCATGTTAAATGCAGAATGTAATGACTGACAGCTGTCTATTTAGCTTGGCATTAAAGGTCAATGGAATTGCGTCATTACAAGGCAAACAATATTAACTGTGCGGGCTGCCTCTTTTTTTGTTTGCCAAGGTTGAACATACTGAGTAAAGAATTTTGGTGAGGTTTGCTGAATCATAAATTCCAGGTCCAAGATCACAAGGTTTTTTATGAGGATTAAAGGATAGAAGGTAAAGCACAAAGCGTTTAGAGACGCTAAGAGAGCTGATGCTTCAGTAACAAGCTAATATCAAAATTCTGAAAATGTGAAAATAGTAAGTTTAATACAGTACTGCAGGTAGATCAGGGTTAAAACTAACAACAAACTCACTTTTGAAGTGTCAGGGGTCTTTTATATCCCAGATATTGCTACATTGTGAATTAAATAATCGAAGGAGAGCTAGTTTAGCCATCAGCTATTAGATGCACATGAACGAAGGTCCCATAGATTTGTATTATTGTTCATTCATGCATGTTTCAGTTGAACTGAATACATTTTTCGTTTTGTTTTTACTGTGGTATCGAATTGCGACATCCGGTAAAGTGGTACCAAGTTGATGCCACAGTTTAACCTGTTACGCCCTGAGCCTTCAGGCTCGAAAATGACATGCCCAGAACAAATGACTATATCTTCACTTCTAAAAGGGGTAGATTAATAATATTTTTTCTCAAAGCAATGATACACCTGTGAGTTGGATGTAGAAAAGTCAGAATCAATATAGATGTTTTTATTTTAAAGTAAATTTAGATTGAACATAGTAAAAAATTATAGTTTCCGTCCAAAAAAAACCCCATTACTTATAGTGAAAACCACCCTTGAATGATGGGTTAGTAGACTAAAAGATTTAGAAATCCAAAATATAACATATAATAAGTATCCTGTATCAAGGTTGATGCAAAACAAGTGACATTTTACCTTTTTAAGAGGTTTAGAAAAAAAAAACCAGCTCTGGGGTCATTTGGCTGTATTTGCCATATCTCTGGAACCCATTGGTCGATTTTGATGATTGACACCTCTTTTTAAACATTAGAGCCAATAGAATCGAGGGGGGGTTTCCTAAATCCATCTAAACATTACCATTGGTGAATGAGACTGATGCGCAGCCAGCGTGCCCAAAACCGGAAGCTGGGTTACAGTTTGCATACACTCAATGAAAACTCAGTTTATTGACATAAATATGATGATGGATTATCAGTAATCATTTCAAAGTGACACAGAGACATTGGATTAACTTTCAGCAGCGTTTTATATGCGTTTTAATGCCCTTGAACACAACTTTTGATCAGAAAACAGCAAAGGTAAGACGTATTTGCCGTTTTGGCTCCGTAAAGTGAAGTTGTGTGTTGTCTTTGATTCCGCTGCCGCAAGTGTTGGTCTCACAGTGATGATACTTATACCATTGGAATCTGTGGAATCTCAGCTTTCATGTTATATCTAGTTTGTGCAGATCCAATGAAGTATAACATATTTCTACCGTGAGTTATGTGCTAAGTGCTTTAGCACTCTTTTGCTTAGTGCTAATTCAGAGGCTCGTCGTTAGACTTGTGTTTTGTTTCGTTAAAAATGGTTCATATCGTCAGGTAGCTGAGTTTATTCCCGTTAAGTGGGTATGACACATTCATAGTTTGTTAGATTTTCAATCAATCAATCAATCAATGTTTATTTATATAGCCCAATATCACAAATGTTACATTTGTCTCAGTGGACTTCACAGTTTGTACAGAATATCAGTATGACAATACGACACCCTCTGTCCTTAGACCCTCACATCGTACAAGGAAAAACTTCCGGAGAAAACCCCACAGTTTAAAGGGGAAAATGGGAGAAACCTCAGGAGAGCAACAGAGGAGGGATCCCTCTTCCAGGACGGACAAACGTACAATAGATGCCGTGTGTAAATTGAAAAGATAATACATTTGCAACATAGGTAGTCCAAATGTTTGGAAATACATGTGTGTATAATAGGAAGATGAATCCACAAGGATATCCCTCCAGGACTTATGATCCAGGACCACAGCCACGACTCAAGATCCAGGACTCACGATCCATGACACAGGACCGCAGGATCATCCATGATCCCGGCTTATATAGACACCAAAAAGAAAGAAATTTGGGGAAGCTGGGTTAATCGGAACATGAGAATACACAGGTATAGACAGAGAGAAGGAAGAAGTCAGATGTCCCCCGACAAATTAAGCCTATATCAGCAAAACTAGGGGCTGAATCTAATCAGCCCTAACTATAAGCTTTGTCAAAAAGGAAGGTCTTAAGCGCACTCTTAAAAACGGATAGGGTGTCTGCCGTCCGAACACAAACTGGAAGCTGATTCCACAAAAGTGGAGCTTGTTAAGAAAAGGCTCTGGCTCCGATTGTACTTTTAGAGACTCTAGGAACAACCAACAACCCTGCATTCTTGGAACGCAATGCCCTAGTACAGTGGTTCTCAAAGTGGGGGGCGCGCCCCCCCAGGGGGGCGCAGAGGCATGACAGGGGGGGCGCGAGAGACCAGGAGGAAAAATGGTTATACATTTTTTTTTTTTTTAAATATTTAATTTTTTTTTTTTTTAAATTATTGATTCGAAAATAATATCATACAGTACTATTACGTC